TCTTTCTTTCTTTCTTTCTTTCTTTCTTTCTTTCTTTCTTTCTTTCTCTCTCTCTCTTTCTTTCTTTCTTTCTTTCTTTCTTTCTTTCTTTCTTTCTTTCTTTCTTTCTTTCTTTCTTTCTTTCCTCGCTCTCCCTCTCTCTTCCTCTCTTTCTTTCTCTCCCTCTCTCCTCTCTCTCCCCTCTCTCTGCCTCCCTCCCTCTCTTTCTTTTTCTCTCTCACTCCCCTTTCTTCCCCCCCTCTCTCTCTCTCCCTCCCTCCATCTCTCTCTCTTTCTTTCTCTCTGCGGCATCTGTCTGGGCTTCGCAGGACTTTCCTATTATTATTATTTTAAATGTCCAGGCGACAAAGACGATTATGACGACGACGACGCGGACGACAAGCTGCAGACCCCCGGCCTGCCCAACGGGGAGGACATTCGGCAGGAGAGCCAGGAGCAAAACGAGGTGGACCACGGAGACTTTGAGATGGTGGTGAGTTCCCCCGGCTGGTGAGGGAATCCGGGCCCACCGCTCAGCCTGGAGAGGAACCGGGGCATCGGGACGCCTCGTTGGGGTCTGCCTGGGGTGGGCTTAATGTAATGGTCGCTTAGAGTGGGGGGGGGGTGGATGTCAGTGGGTCTGTACGTCTCCCAGAGGCATAATGGGGGATCTGTCTAACGTAAGAGCCCCCCCTCCCAACCTTTTGGGCACCCGGGACCGGTTCCGTGGAGAGAGGTCTCATCCCGGACTGGGAAGGGTGTGGTTTCGCGTGCTGCCCGTATCCCCTGGATGGGGCTTTGCTTCTTTGCGTAGCCCGGTTCCTGGCATGCCCCGGCCCAAAGGACCGTTCGGGGACCCCTGGTCTAACGCACCAGGTCACAATGCTTTGGCCTCTCTCGTGCTCCTAGTCCGACTCGATGGTCCTGGAAACCGCCGACAATGTGAACAACGGGAACCCGTCTCCCCTGGAGGCTCTCCTGGCCGGGGCCGAGGGCTTCCCTCCCATGCTGGACATCCCCCCCGATGCCGATGACGAAACCATGGTCGAGCTGGCCATTGCCTTGAGCCTGCAGCAGGACCAGCAGGGTGAGAGAGGCAGGCGGCCCCCTTCCCTGCTACAGTGGGGGGGAGGGGGGGCCTCCTTTATAGACCTGGGCAAGGCAAGGCCTGCTGTGCTGTCAAGCAAGGAGAATGGCGGGGAGGGATCCGCGGTGAGCCGTGGTGGCGCAGTGGGGAGAGTGCGGTACTGCAGGGCTACTTCTGCTGACAGCCGGCTGCCTGCAATTTGGCCGTTGGAGTCTCACCAGGCTGAAGGTTGACTCAGCCTTCCGTCCTTCCGAGGTGGGTCAAATGAGGAGCCAGATTGTTTGGGGGGCAAGAGGCTGACTCTGTAAACCGCTTAGAGAGGGCTGTAAAAGGACTGTGAATCGGTATATAAGTCTAAGCGCTATTGCTACCTTCCTCCTTCCCTCCCTCCCCATTCCCACCTCCTTCCTTCCTCCCTTCGCCCCTTGCCTTCCCACCTTCCTCCTTTCCCTTCCTATTTCCTTCCCTCCCTCTCTGCCTTCCCATTCCCGTCTCTTTCCTTCCTGCCTTCCTCCCTTCCTTTCCTTTCCTTCCTCATTCCCCTCCTCTCTCCCTCTCTGCCTTCCCATTCCTGTCTCTCCTCCCTTTCCTTCCTGCCTTCCTTTCCTTTCCTTCCTCATTCCCCTCCTCTCTCCCTCTCTGCCTTCCCATTCCTGTCTCTCCTCCCTTTCCTTCCTGCCTTCCTTTCCTTTCCTCCCTCATTCCCCTCCTCTCTCCCTCCCTTCCTTCCCTATGGTTAGAATACAGTTATTGCAGGGTAACTCTGCCCACAGCCAGGAGTTCGATCCTGGCCAGCTGCAGGTTGACTCAGCCTTCCGTCCTTCCGAAGCCCAGATTGTTGGGGGAAGCAAGAGGCTGACTCTGTAAACCGCTTAAAGAGGGTCATAGAGCCCTGCAAAGCGGTATATAAGTCTTAAGCGCTGTTGCTATAGTTATCCCGGACACGGAGGGGGAAAAAAAACAAGAGGCTTCCTTCTTGGTTCATCCCGTCCCCCTGGCATTGATTTCTCCTGCCCTTCCTTCCCTTCTCTCTTTCTCTCACACAGGCAGCAGCAGCAGCGCTCTCGGCCTGCAAAGCCTGGGGCTGTCTGGGCAGGCCCCCAGCTCTTCCTCCCTGGACGCCGGGACTCTGTCAGACACCACCGCGTCAGGTAACGCACACGGGGTAGAACCCACTCCTTGGTTGGGTGGGTGGGTGG